TACATGTATCTGTGCCTTCAACATGTTCCTGGACCTTTGCAGTGGACCTACATGTATCTGTGTCTTCAACATGTTTCTGGACCTTTGCAGTGGACCTACATGTATCTGTGTCTTCAACATGTTCCTGGACCTTTGCAGTGGACCTACATGTATCTGTGTCTTCAACATGTTTCTGGACCTTTGCAGTGGACCTACATGTATCTGTGTCTTCAACATGTTTCTGGACCTTTGCAGTGGACCAACATGTATCTGTGTCTTCAACATGTTTCTGCAGTGGACCAACATGTATCTGTGTCTTCAACATGTTTCTGCAGTGGACCTACGTGTATCTGTGGCACAGAGAGTCGATGCAGATCAACACACGGACGTTGTCTCTGGCCTTCAGCTGAGTCTTACTCCTCTTTACCTCACTGTGATCTGAAAGACAGAAACATGGTTCTTTTTTTTAGTTTTTACTCATCGTTGTTAAATGTTAATAGCTGATTAAAATGCTGCTTTTTCTCACATTATACTACCTTTATAACACCTATATCTTGTGTTATTCAATGATAAAAAGAAGTTAAAGACATTCAAAGCATGTACATATTGCTGAAAATAAAACCATATTTTCCCCTATTCATTTATTTATCTGTTTATTTGTTTTCTGCATTTACACATCTGATTTGTAAAATCTTTTGCTGAATTTATGTTGAATGGAGATCAAAAGAGTCTGAAAACTATATTTTAGACACAATCCCATTGATGAAAACATCTGTATTCAAATTGTTCTCTCATCTATTGTACAATTGGACAGTTTGTTGTGGTTTTAAATTGCACTTTTTATCAACTATGTAACCCTATAGAAACTTGTCATGTAGTGCAATAAAAGCTGTGTACAAAACATCAGACCATAAAGCAGTGAAACTGGATTTTTATTTTGATGAAAATAATTGACTGAACAGTGTAAAGCTAATCCAAAACTAATGCTAATCCAGAGCTAATGCTAATCCAGAGCTAATGTTAATCCAGAGCTATTACTAATGTCAGCTGCTCAATGTGGTGAAGGAAATTTTGTAACTGATTAATTGAATATTAGATGCAGTTTTGTATTTTATACTTTCTGATCATTTCAGCCTTTAAGTTAAAGCAGACAAAGAGTTGGTGTGTGTTTTATCGTGTTCTTTCTTTAGCCTAAACAAAATGAGTTATGTTCTAGCCTCTGACGTAAAAGGTAACACCTCCTGAGTGTAACCAGGAAGAGATGTACATTATAAGCTCAATTCATTATTATAGTACAAAGAAGTTGTCAGTGTGTTGCAAAGTCTCTGCTCAGAGCAGGGCTCGTGTGTTTGTTTTGATTCAGCTCAAGGTCTTACACTGAGGCCTGCTGAGTGCTGTATGAACCTGACTGGAGTCAGAAGATTGAGAATAAAGTTTTAAGAAGAAATCCAGTGGATTCCTGTTTATTCAAACATACTATTTTGATCAACGCATATTTTTCCAACATTTTGGTGACCATCGACCGTGATGGATGATCTTGAATAAGCAGAGAACATTGGATTTTATTTTTGGGTGTCAAGAACCTGAGAAGATTTTTGAAACATCAACTGCTGAGAGTGAGTACAGAAAAGCTTCAAGATGCCTCCTTACTTAAGAGGATTTCTGCCAGCTTCTCCAAAAGTGATGGTGTTGGAGCTCAAGATTCATCCTCTGAAAGAGATGAATGCTTTGGAGAACTCAACATGCGTTCGAATGGGTGAGAAGGCTGAGAGGAGAGATCAACATGGAGATGAGATGGAAGCTGCTTCTGAGAGTAAAACTGTATGGAACTCTCTTTGTGCCAGACCAAAAGAATCTCTCATGAAGGATTCAGCTCTTAGATGACAACGAATGGCCAGAGTTAAAGAGAGATGCTTTTTCTCCACCAGCAAAGAGAATAAACTGATAACGGCCAGAGAAATTAAGCAGTCTTTCTTCAAAACAGATTCACACCACTGGAAGAAACTGAGTTTGAACAAAGTTCATCCTCTGATCTCAGAGAGGGACCTGAGACCAGATCCAGCTCAAAGCCAAAACAAGTCCAAAGAGAGACTTTCAAGAATCAAGAAATGTTTATCATCACAGATAAAATGGTGAATGAGATCAGAGGCTTCTGGAACAAGAAAAATGTTTTGCTGATAAAGTGTCAGACCCTACAGAGAAACTTCTGGAAATCACAGCTGAGTATCCAGCTCTGAAGACGCTCATCATTCATACAGGAAGTGATGAAGACGCTCATCATTCATACAGGAAGTGATGAAGACGCTCATCATTCATACAGGAAGTGATGAAGTAATGAACCGACAGTCAGAAATCCTGAAGAAGGATTTCATTCAGTTGCTGAATGCAGTTAAGAATCTCAACATGGATAGGTTCCTCAGTGGGCCCATTCCTGCAGCCAGAGGAGGGGCTGAGAGGTTCAGCAGACTGTTGGCCCTTAATGTTTTTTTGGAAAAGTCTGTGCTGACCACTCTGTGAGATATGTGGATAATTTTGATCTCTTTTGGGAGAGATGACATCTGTTAAGTCTGATGGAATGACTCTGAACAGAGCTGGAGCAGAGCTGTTAGTTTCAAACATGAAGTATTTCCTGAACCAAGTTCCGGCTGGAACCAAAAAAACAGAAGAGTGATCAGCTGACGTCTGAGGCTGAAGGACAACAGGAGCAAACTGAGACACKGATAGAAAACAATGTACAAGTGGCTGATAAGAAGACTGCTGCAGAACCACAGAAAGGGGAGTTACTTCAAGCTGCTGAACCAGAAAAACATCTGGTTTCATCAGCATCACGAACCAGAAAATGTGTTCCCCCAATCTACAACTGGAGAACAACCGAGCACCACTCCTTCTCCACCAGAGGAAACAAAACCATCAACTAAGAATGAAGATGTAAGACCTACTTCTAGAAGAAGACCACAGGTTGGAYACGACACTGAGGACCCTGTAAAACGAGCAAAGTATCGCTTCCAAATGCGTGSAAATCTGAAGCATCACTGGGAGAGTCTATCGACTGGATGGGGAGATTGGGTGATAGAAATGTGGATAGATGAGATGATGCTTAAATACCATCATGATGAATATTTTTATGTCTGMGAGAATTAAAAAATGAATTTCTGGGGTTGGGAAATGTTTACAAATATCCTGCTGTAATGAATAGATGTTAAAACTTACCTTRATAAAGCTTTCATAAAATTTCCTTATAGTTTTGACATATTGTGTTRGTCAAAAGAGGGGGAGTTGAAGAAAATTTTGTAACTGATTAACTGAACATTAGATTCAGTTTTGTATTTTATACTTTCTGATCATTTCAGTCTGTAAGGTTAAAACAGACAAAGAGTTGGTGTGTTATCATCTGTTCTTTCTTTAGCCTAAACAAGAATAAGTTCTACGTCTGATGTAAAAGGTAACACCTCCTGAGTGTAACCAGGAAGAGATGAACATTATAAGKTCAATTCATTATTATAGTACAAAGAAGTTGTCAGTGTGTTGCAGATGCTTTAGAGCAGGGCTCCTGTGTTTTGTTTTGATTTAGCTCAGTGTCTTACACTGAGGCCTGCTGAGTGCTGTATGAACCTGACTGGAGTCAGAAGATTGAGAATAAAGTTTTAAGAAGAATCCAGTGGATTCCTAGCCTGACCCTTGCCTTCCTACGCAGCTCCTCTCAATTCTAGTTTCCCTTCTCTGCTCCGTCTGGGACTTCTCCCGTTAACAAGGCTTTCACTGGCAGATTTTTAGCCGGGCCAATCAGAGAACAGAACGTCAATTTTCTGCGCAGTGTCTGCTTGTAGTTTATTTTACCTGGGCCAATCAGAGAACAGAACGTCAATTTTCTGCGCAGTGTCTGCTTGTAGTTTATTTTACCTGGGCCAATCAGCAAACAGAAGGCGGAGTTTTGAATGTCGATGTTCTTCACAGTGTCTGCTAGTTATTTTAGCATACAGCAGTGGAGGAAGTGAATGAAGCCAGTCTGTGTTGATAAGGCTTCAAATTAAAATAAATTTATCTGACAAAGCAGCAGCTCTCATTTACAGTCGTCTCGTTCAGCTCGGTACTTCTCTCCTCTCAGTAGGGTTGTTTACAGCACACGCGATTTCCTGTTAGCTTCTTAGCTTAGCCTCCTTCACAGCGACAACACACATGTTTCAGCAGAGGCCACGCCTCCTGAAAGAAACATTTCTCTATGCATCAAGTCCAGACCCTTGTCCGAAGCAAAGTGAAGGACAGGGTCTGGTTTAAACTAGGCTAGTGGATTCCTGTTTATTCAGACYTACCATTTTGAACATTGAATATTTTTTCCTACTGTGGGATTTTCAGATGTATTGACAAAACATGTCTGATGTAAAATGTCTCCTCTCTGCTGCAGAGSTTGATAATTTTTAAAATAAAAATATTAACAGAAATTATTTAGTGCTCCTGTTGGGTTCTGTTGAATCTAAGCAAACACAGATTTGTTATCATTCTCAACATTAAACTGAGTCATGTTTAAACCCTCATACTACAGCTCAAATTTAATTATTCACAAAAATATCACAAATCTAAAGATTTTATCGATGAAAATATTAGTTTACAGCATCAGTATAATGAAGGCTGTGATGTACAGCTGCAGTTTGTGGGAGTAAATAAAATACAATTAAACAGGGAATGTGATGGTAATTTATCATTTCACATTAAAAGTTAGCWAAATTATCATTCCCATTATCTAATTTCAGAGAAACAAACAAAAAGCCTAATTTCTTTAAACCCAACATGAAATTTGACCAGAACAAAGTTTCAGAAAACACACAATCTACAAGATGTTTTTGTTTTTAACCATTAATCCCTTTAACGTGCTATTCTTATAGTTCCTGCCTGCTGTGTAATAGTTTGTTGTGATTCTTGTGATATTTATGTGTTTTTATGTTGTTGGTATGATTGAGAATTTTGTGTTTTGTCTGTTGCTGTTTTTTTTTTTTTTTTTTTTTTTTTGCCACAACTTTGCAGGACTTGGAGCCTCAGAGCTGACAGGATTGCAGCGCCTCAAAACCAAAACTGCTTTTATGTTGCTATAAAATCAGATCACAGCTGCTCATATTTCATCTGATGACTTTATTAAACCATGTTGGTTTGGCAGCACTGATGTTGTGTTTCTGTGTTTGCAGCCAATTATCACCCTCAGCAATTTAATGTTTCCACTGGATCATTAGTCATTTCAGATAATTCCAGATAATCAGGGCTGGTTTGCATTAATGCTTGTTCCTAAATTTCTGTGTAAATAAGGATTTCCAAAACCCACAGAAGAAGAGGGTGAGGTCAGTCCAAACACTTGGTTTCTGTTGAAAATTAGTCAGCAGGATTCTGAACACCTCTGTGGGAGGACTCTTATTGTACGAGAGCTTTAAAGCTTATCTGCGTGAAAGAAAGGAAAGTTACTGAGAGTTACCAATGTGGACATTAGCAGAGAACTGGTAGATCCCTGTGAGGTGGGCTGTGAACCTGCCGGTGGTCTGGTCCATCCCGGTCCCCCTGAGGAAAGCTCCTTTAGCTGGTGGCTGTAAACACAGAGAAACTCAGCTCATTTTAGGATCACTGTGACAATAATCCCACTACAGATTACCACATGTGTGCTGCTGCAGATAACTTCAGSACATCAACAAGTAGACCTGGTTCAGTCCACCATGACCAGCTGAGTCAATGTCTGAGTGAACTGTAGGAAATGGGATTTACTTACAGAAAAGCTAAACTAAGGTCGTATTCACACCTGATAGTCCAGTAGACTCAGTTCGATTGGGAACCAAAACTGCAAGCTTTGTTTACATTTTCTGTTGGTGCGGTTTGAATTCACACTGCACTTTCTCAACCGAACTAAACCATGTAAACAACCTGTACCCGCCCTCACCTGTGGGAGCGCTGCACCAAGAGCCACTAAAGGGATCAACATGAAAACCTCAGAAGAAGACATGGAGCGCAACTTCCTTCATCACAAAATGTAAACAAACAATAGTAACATTACATTTTAGTGATTGAAGGGTTTATTTTTTGTTTTTGGCAAATGTGTTAAACAAATAGTCTTAAACAGTGAGCTCAGCATGAGAGGAAGATGAGGTGGAACCACGGAGAATGTTGTTTTGGAGACAAGGCAGCTGAGGAAGCTCCGTGTTAATCGAGTAGGAGCGCGTCCAGCTCCACAGTCATGATGTCCACCTTATACAGTCGTCCAGCCAGGTATTTATACAATATAAGTAAATTTATTACAGTTATTACTCAGAATGACCTGCGGTATAGTCCGCTTCCTGCTTTTGGAGCGGTCTCTGGTCTGCTTAACGTTCACACATGCAATTGAACTGCACCAGAGTTTGTTTCAATTGAACCYAGACCTAGGTTTTCAGGTGGACCAGAGTTCGCTTTTTTTGGTCCGAATCAGAGTTCGATTACGTGTTCACACCTCCACAAATGAACCGGTCTTTCCAGGCAAATGAACTAGAGTTTGATTAAATTGGACTAAACAATGCAGGTGTGAACACGACCTAAAGCCATCACTAACACCAAAAATAAGAAGAAGAAGAAGAAGAAGAAGACATACTGCATAAAGTCAACAGTCTGAATCTCAATCAACTGAAAAGCTCAGGTGGAAATTGAAGAAAAGGGTCAAAGACAAAACTCCACCCTGTAAACTGATCTCCATCATCTAGTGTACTACTTATCTGTAGTCAGGTTGTGGAGGGAACAGGAGAGAAATCCAGACATCCCTCTCCCTAAATCACACTTTCCAGTTCGTCCTGGGAGAGTCCAAGTCGTTCCCGGACCAGAGAGGTTACATAATCCCTCCAGTGAGTCCTCYGAACACCTCTAAAGGGAGGTGTCCAGGAGGCATCTTTATCAGAAGAATAAGCTCAACTGACTCTTTTTGATGCAGAAGAGCAGRGGCTCTACTCCAAGCTCCTCTTGATGACATAGCTCCTCACRCTGTCTCTAAGTCTGAATCCAGCCACCCTACAAAGAAAGATCATTTCAGCTGCTTTAATCTGGGATCTATGGTCACGATCCACGCCTCATTACCACAGGTGAGGGTTGGAACGTAGACAGGCCAGTAAATCCTGAGCTTTGCCTTTCGACTCAGCTTTTTCTTCACCAAGACTGACTGAAGCAACGCTTTCATTACTGAGGACGAGGCTCCAATCTGTCGATCCATCTCCATCCTAACATGACTCGTGAACAAGACACCCAGATAAACTCCTCCACTTGAGGCAGAGATCCCCCCCCACCCTGGATCCAAAGGGGGCATTCCACCCTTTTCCGGCCGAGAACKATGGCCTCAGATTTAAAGGAACTGACTTTCATCCCAGCTGTTTCACACTCGGCTGTGAACCACCCCAGTGCACGCTGAAGGTCTTGGCCTGAAGACGCCAACAGAACCACATCATCTGCATACAGCAGAGATGAGACCCTGTGGTTCCCAAACCAGACAGCCTCCTCTCCACGACTGTGCCTTGAGATCCTGTCCATAAACACTACAAACAGGATCAGAGACAAGGGAGTCCAACCTGAGCTGTGAACAAGCTTAACTTTGAGCCAAGAATGAGGACACAGCTCCTGCTTTGGTTCTACAGGGACCAGATCGCTCTTAATACCAACCCAGACACTCCACAGCCCCCCCCCACACACACACACACACACACACACATAATGCCTCGAGGAAAATAATCATAAGCCTCTAGGTCCACAAAACACATGTAGACCGGAGTAAAACTGGTCTGACAGCAGCAATAAGAGACAGCTGGAGCCAGAGTGATGACTTCAGTTTGTCTTTAGTTCGGTCCACATCTTTGAGAATTCAGCCAGCYGTGGTCTAATGTGGATACCATGGGGGAGGGTCTTTATCAAGATTCCAATTGTTTTTATTATCTCCGCCAAGGTCGAGGTAATGTTTTCGGTCGCGTCTGTCTGTCTCTCCGTCTGTCTGTCATTCTGTCTGTGGACAACATTACTCAAAAACTTGTGGACGGATTGTCATGACATTTTTAACGCATGCGGATACTGGGCTAAGGAGCACACCATTAAATTTTGGTGATGTTCCGGATCACGATGTGGATACAGGAATTTTTTTTCTTTGAACACTCTGACATCGACAAAGCTGTGATGCTTTCATAGGGCATAGGTTTCAAAGTGTCCAGCAGGTGGCACTGTAGTATTGGTGTGCCCCTTTGTAACTCTATTACAGGATGGGGGAAATTGGTCTTGGCGGAGGTTTGCACTCTCCGAGTGCTTCTAGTTAAACTACTACGAGTATTATTAGTTTTTTGCAATGTGACAAAGTCGGAATCTTGACAAATGATAGTTTTGTGGTGTGTCTGTGATTTATTCATATGCAAAATAAACTGAAAGAACTTCCTGTAAGAATACTGACTGGTTGTAGAAGCAGTATCACCTGTAAAGTTTTTTGTTCTAACATAAATAATCTGTGTCTAATCTGTGTTTTGAACTGACAGAATATTACAGAATAACCTGTGAGAACTAAAGGATCACTGCATGATGTCAGCAGCTCCTTTAATGGCAGAGATTAAAGGTTTTTGAGGATCCATGAAATGTTTATGGCAAATAGGGATACATCTGATCACACCTTATAAAACACTGCAGTGTCTGCAAACTGCCTTCATAAAAAAAGGCAAAATAATCACAGACAACATTTATGTCATTTATAAAACCTTTGACTTTGGCTACAATGACCTCATAAAGCGTCTGGCAGTAACTAATTTTAATAAATTGCCAAAATTTATTCTTATACACAAATTCTATATTGTATTATATAAAAAGAAAAAAACAACCAAACCGAATTCATCCAGAAAACTGAACATAAACGGTGTTTCTAACTCTCCTGGGTTTTTTTTATGTTTTACTTCTGAAAACCTAAACCCTAAGGTTTCAGAGGCGTTTCTGTTCATCAACACAGTGTTGTTTGACCAGTTAAATGGTTCAGTAGAGCTCAGAGCGTCAGCCTCTATTTCTGTCCACACATTATTCCAGCTCAGACACAGACTGCCTTTTGTGAGCTGCCCACAGAGGGATGTGTAGATGTTTTATAAAGTGGATATTTCTACTGCTTGCTCTGCCAGTTCCAGTGAGGGAGGGGATGATCCTCTGGTACCTCTCCCACGTCCAAAGTAAGCAACTATTCCCAAACATTCTGTGTTCCACAGCGAGGACAGAAACAAAGCAGGGGGACTGACCAGAACATTACTTCTTCAAGCAGATCCATTCATAAACATTTACATGGATTCAAACAAACTTACTGTCTGAAAGTTCTGGAGCTCCACCAGAGTCTTCTTGTCCACCACCACCGGTCCCTTCAGRCTGCAGTGGAAGGCTTCTTCTATTCTTCTGCAGGATGACTTCCTGTCCAAGCTGAGGACAGCTGTGGGCAGTTGACTGGGTTCGGTCTGACCTGGTCCGGTCTGACTGTCGAGTTCAGCTGCTCTTCTCTCTGTAGCTTCTGACAGGAACACAGTCCAGTTATTTCAACGATGAAATTATTAAATAAACATCTGGATTATTTTTCTCTACTATGTTTACAAACTAAAAACGTCTGCAGGGCGGCTGTGGCAGAGTGGTCCTGTAACTAGTGGATTGCCCGTTTTATCCCTCACTCCAACTGTCGCAGTTGTGTCCTTGAGCAAGACACTTCACCCGACTTGCCTACTGATAGTGGTCAGAGGGTCATGGGCAAGGCAGCCCAGCCACTGTCAGCTGTGGCTACAATGTAGCTCACCACCACCAGTGCATTCGAAAGGGTGAATGTCTGTAATGTAGAGCAGAGATTCTTAAGCTATGGGCCGCAGCCCACAATTGGGCCGCGAGCGCCACCTTGAGGGCCTCAAAAGAACAACAGTTTTAACTTTGGGCCACAGAGTGCCGTGGGACCACAT